ATATATATATTAATAATGGGAGTTGAACCCAGTGAGTGGGCTAACTAACTTCTGGGCAAATTAGTTATGACTTAAATTCTCTAGCATATGGCTTTTCGTGGTTTGGTGTTTGAAGTTAGGAGGTGGCAATTAAGTTATATGATTATATATATGATCTATATTATTACGTGCGTCTGGTAATGATAGGTGTCGGCATGTTTTGGCAATGAGCACGCTTTTTCCGCAGAGACGCGCCCGGCAGCGACGACAGAGACGTGTTTGACACGCGCGAGGTCGATACCGCACGTGTTGTGGATGCTGCTGTGGTGGCTGGGAGCAAGTAAGGATAGACACCAGGAAACAATGCGTGCCGCCGCCACAGAAACCATACAACCAACTAGTACGTCGACCAACATGCTACGTTCGTCTCTCGTAAGTTTAGGCTATATACTCTGAGAAACAATGAGAAGCGTAGGAGCGAGAGTGAGAAAGGGGCAGCGAGAGTAAGAATGGGGCAAGGGGAAGAAAGAGAGACGAGAGAGGGAGAGATAAGAATAGAGAGGAAGAGAGTGTGAGAGAGAGAGAGAGGGAAGAAAATGAAAAAAAGACATCGAGAGAGAGAGGGGGAGGGGGAGAGAGCGCGAGCGAGCGAGAGGAGGGAGAGAAGAGAGAAACCGCGTTGAGATGGAGGTCGGTATCTAGCACTTATTCTTAGTCAACATACATTACAGGTAGGCACGCCAGAAAACGGGAACTAGCGGCCAAATGAACATAGGCGTTAGCTGGCCAGGTAAATGTGGGACACAGACCAGGACAGGGCTCATGCCTGATTCTCCGGTCGCAATATTTTCCATATTGGGAATTCGTGGCAGATCTTGTCAGGGCAACCTCAAGTGTTGCTTCTCTGCAATAAAGATCGCAACGCAAGCAATGAATCGTATATCCTGAATGCCATTGATATGATAATTATAGCAGTGATAATGAAATGAAATCATGCTGTAAAACGATTTGCGGAAGAATTGCGCTCTAGACTACCAGCAAATTGGTATTTTTACAATGACATTATTTTATAATTATTATTATTATTATTATTTTATTAAGTTTATTTTTATAATTATTTTATTTTTTTTTTTTTTTTTTATTATTATTTTTATGGTATTATTTTATGAGAGCAATAAATTACACGTATATTATACGTAGCTGCTATGGCATCTAGGACTTAAAATTGTTCATTAATTTCTTTTCCATGTTCTGGTTCATTGAACGCCATTGATTAGATGTTAGAGATACGATAAAGAGGCTTCATTCACGCTACAAAAATCCATGATACTGCCGTATCGAACTCGTTTAAAAAAAATTTTTTTTTGGCTTACATGTTTACCAATGTTAGGCAGCAGTTTCGAAAAAACGCTGACGCGTCTTTGGTCTGATGAATGATGTTGCTTTGGGCTTGTCACGGCAGTCGCAAGCAGGTTTAGGCGATGGCAGAAGGAGGGCGTAGCAACGGAAGACAGATAGGGTCACCCGCAGTAGTAGGCCTGAAACAGCTACTATATGTACAAAGGTAATTAAAAATGACTTAGAAAGTTTAGTCAGGCCAATACGCCACCATACAACTTTGTATCATGGCTAAAGACTGCAGCATTCAAAGTCCAATCCTCACTCGAACACCTTTGTCAGATTGTTTTGGATAAGATATTCTCAGTATGTGTCGTCGACAGCCGTTTTCACTCACAAACGGCAGCGGCGTCGCCATGGATACGAGCACTCAACAGATTGACATATATTTTTCCGCACAAAACAGTTTAAGTTTAAATGCTCTCGCAAACGCGATCGGACATCTATCCACGATGTGCAATGCAAATTTCGGCACTGTAACTACTAAAAAATTGAGAAAACTGCTCGTTTATAGACATGAAAGAGTGCAACGCAAACAAATTGCGCACGCTACTCTCAACGCAAGTCTCGTATAAGATGGAACACTTGACCGCGCCAATGGTGGATCGACGCTCAGAGCTGCATCACGGACCAATAAATCTGCCATAGGGAATGGCAAACCTGTTACTGCCACTGACTACATTACACCACGCATCCGCACCACGCAACGCACGCACGCAGCACATGCATGCACGCAATGCACAAGACAGACGCTGCACCACGCACCACGCACAATACACACATATAGCATAATTATGTCTCTAGTTATCTTCTCTCGCCTCTCGCTCACTTCTCTGTGACTCGCTCCCTCTCTTTTTCTCTCTTTCTTGTGGCGCGATATATATATATACTCCACCACTCCTCACTTCCACACTCCTCTCGACGATGGTATCGCTCACGACCAAGCATGGTATGCAAGCATGGAAAAACTTGTGCAGGTAAATGGTCGTATTCAGGCCGAAACATTTTTACCCACCGAGGCCACAAAATGTGAATGCGACCATACCCGCGTGTGCGCATCCATTGTCTGATTCGTGAACGTCGTTCGAGTATATATGGGTGCGTAGGCTTCGTTCTCGTCACGAGTCGGGTGCGTAGGCTCGGTTGATCCGGCAGCCTTATCTAGAATCTCGCCGGCTGCCTAGCTGGCTCGTGGTATCGTCCGTGCGGAACCGCGGGCTGCCTCCACGGTCTTTTTAACCCCCGAGACGCAGGTCAGTGGATCGTGTCTCGGTGTGGTTGGCCGGAAAAATTTTACGCGCAGGGATCGCATATGCCTCTCACATATGCCTCTATACTTGTGATATGTCGGGGACGCTGACACACTACACGATGTATATTATACAATGTGAAATACCGCGTATGTAGATGAATTTAAGTTGATAATCTGTTGGAATGTTTATTGACACATGTACATCATATTCAGAGAGTCGGACAAGTCAATACAGCATCTACAGATATATATATATGCGATTAATGAAGTGTGATTTACGTTAATCTGATTCGACGCATCATCGCATATGCCTCTAACAACAAGTCGGACAAGTCAATACAACATGTAATAATTTATTGATTATAAATCATCATACATATTCAGATATATATTATACATTATACATCTACAGATATATATATATATGCGATTAATGAAGTCTGATTTACGTTAATCTGATTCGACGCATCATCGCATATGCCTCTAACAACACGACGCTGACACACTCACTAGGGGCCTACACGATCTGATAATCTGTTGGAATGTTTATTGACACATGTACAACTTACAGTCGGACAAGTCAATACAACATGTAATAATTTATTGATTATACTACATCTACAGATATATATATATGCGATTAATGAAGTGTGATTTACGTTAATCTGATTCGACGCATCATCGCATATGCCTCTAACAACACGACGCTGACACACTACACGATGTATATACAATGTGAAATGCTGTACCGCGTATGTAGATGAATTTAAGTTGATAATCTGTTGGAATGTTTATTGACACATGTACAACTTACAGTCGTACAAGTCAATATACATGTAATAATTTATTGATCATACTACATCATACATATTCAGATATATATTATACATTATATCACATATATATATATATATATTATGTTATATTATACATTGACTGTTTGTACTATCGATAAGCGATAAATGACGTCGTTTCATGCAGGTCGGGTAAGGAGTCATCGCCTGGAGCCTGCCGACGCTGCACGAACATAGCCTGCCGACGCTGCTGCTGGAAGAGGTAAGTGACTTTTGTATTCTCCTTGCCTTTCTCTCATTCTCTCTGCCTGCTCCTCTCTCTCTCTCTCTCTCACTGCCTCCTCTCGCCTCTCATCTTCGCCTTCTCCCTCTCCCCTCTCGTCTTCGCCTTCTCCCTCTCCCCTCTCGTCTCTTTCCTTCGCCGAAGAGAGAGAGGGAGGAGGAGGGCTCCCTTCTCCTCCCCGCTTCTCTCCTCCTCCCTCTCTCCCTCTTCCTCCTCCCTCTCTCTCCCTTCTTTCCCCTCTCTCGGGAGCGAGGAGGGAGGAGGGGAAGGGGGGAGGAGAAGGGAGCCCTCCCACCCCACCTCCCTCCCCGTCCTTCTCTCCTACCTCCTCCTACCTCCTCCCCGTCCTCCTCTCTCTCTCTCTCTTCTCCTACCTTCTCCTCCTCTCCTCCCTCTCTCCTCCTCCCTCTCTTCTCTCTTCCCTCCTCCCCTCCCTCTCCTCCTCCTCCCTCTCTCCCTCTCTCTCTTCTCTCCTCCTACCTCCTCCTCCTCCCCCTCTCTCTTCTCTCCTCTCCCCCTCTCTCTCTTCTCTCCTCCTCCCTCTCCTCCTCCTCCCTCTCTCGCATCTCTCCTCCTTCTCCCCCTCTCTTTCTCTCTCTTCTCTCCTCCTCCCCCCTCCCTCTCCTCCTCCTCCTCCTCCTACCTCCTCTCTCTCTCTCTCTTCCCTCCTCTCTTCTCTCCTCCTCTCTCCTCCCTCTCCTCCTACCTCCTCCTCTCTCTGCTCTCCTCCTCCTCCCCCTCTCTCTTCTTTCCTCTCCCCCTTTCCTCTCCTCCTCCTCCCCGTCCTCCTCCCTCTCTCTCTTCTCTCCTCCCTCTCTCGCTTCTCTCCTCCTTCTCCCTCTCTCTCTCTCTCGCTCTCTTCTCTCCTCCTCCTACCTCCTCTCTCTTCTCTCCTCCTCCTACCTCTCTCTCTTCTCTCCTCCTCTCTCTCCTCCTCCCTCTCTCTCCTCTCCTCCTCCCGGCAGAGAGAGAGAACGAGAGAGGCAGAGAGAGCAGAGAGAAATGAGAGAGAGAGCGAGAGAGGAGAATACAAAGATGACTTACCTACCTCTCCCAGCAGGTTTTCAATGATGATCACCGTCGGTAGGTCGGCAGCGGTGGCGCCCTCACACTGCTCTGCTCGCCCTCACAGTGGTCGAGGTTGAACGTCGCGACGACTCCTAACCCGACCTGCATGCAACGACGTCATTAATCGCTTATCAATAGTACAAACAGTCAATGTTACTTACAAGATCAGATGTAATAATAATATAATGTATAATATATATCTGAATATATGTATGATGCAGTATAATCAATAAATGATTACATGTTGTATTGAAATCACACTTGTCCGACTCTCTGAATATGATGTACATGTGTCAATAACATGTGTTATGTGTTCATAATTCTCTACATACGCGGC